GGATTTTCTGTTTTCAAAACATTACTATATCATAACACTATTCCATCATCCTGCTGACAAGCATCTCCTCTTATTACTGTCAGGAACGTTTGCTGCACTCCAATATGTCCTCTTCAGTAATCTGCTTTTGCAGCAGAAGACAAAAGCTATCAAGTTGAACAGTAAATCTAATTGTTGTTGCCAAATGTACTGCAGCTACATTACCATTCTCATGTTCTTAATACAGAATGAGAAAGAAATGATATTGTTGGTTGCTTAGGCAGAATGAGGGCTGCTTAAAAAATATCTTTGAAAAACTTTAAATAGAAACCTCTTTAACTATTCTCTTTCTCCAAATGAGAGAATTATCTTAAAGCAATAAATAAAATTCTTAACAGAATAGGGCTTTCAAAAGCAGAGCAGAGCTTGCCTGTGTAAAAGAAAGCCTTAACGTTTATGACACACTGAGACACAGATGTGTTTTCCCACTGCATACTGTCCAGAATCTTTATTATTAAATTTGCTAATTAGTAAAGGTATTTGTAGCTTTTCGCCACCTCAAAAGACCTTCCTCTTTTCCTTTTGGAGGAGATTCACCAGTGAGGTTATGACTTTTTTTGGTCACAGTTGTTCCCATAGCAACAGATAGGGCTGCTATGAATTGGTTCACACAAAATTAAAGCTGACCAAAGCCTTCAGTCTATTTGTGAGTTACTAAATTGCTAGTGATAGAAGATAAGTTTTTATTTCCTACTGCCTCCATTTATTATTTTGCTAAATGAAGAGTAAACAGTTTTTATCTTTGGGTTTATTAGCATGTCATTTATTATATTTGCAAAAATTTGAACTCATCAGAGCTGTTAGAGAAATGGAAATTATACTTATTCTAATTATGTTAATTCATTATCCCTTTATCTCTTTTCTGTATCATTGCTTTATACTTAAAAGTCCCTTTTTATTTTCATGTGTGTACTTTTATTCTTTTTTAAATTAGAAAATACTTGTCGGAAAAAAATTAAACAATATGAAGGCTAAAGAGTAAAAAACAGTTTCTTCTTACATTTCTGTACTCTTTCAGTTCCTGTCCTCAGAGGCCACTATTGCTAGCAGTTTTCTATGAATTTTTTTGGGGGGAGGGAATTTTCTGTGCCTATACATTTTCTTTTACATAAATGGATTCATTCAATATATAATGCTCTGCAACATGCTCAGAACAAAGCAAAAATTCTTGGATATCTTTCTATAATAATAAATGGAATCATTCAATATTATTGTTCCAAAATACGCTTTTTTCCACTAAACTACATGTTAAGGACATATTTCTATATAAGCACATATAACCGTGCTGTATTCTTTCTTCTTCATTTAAAAAAATTTTTATTGGTGCTTCAGAATTTAAGCTCAAAAAACATTGACTTCACGGGAAACCCACTCCAAGAAATGTAATTTTAGGCTGAACACCTGTTTCCCTTTATTTTCCCACAAAAGAGCGTATACATGTTATTAATTACCTTCAATCTCCAATCACTACAGCTCTGCCAATACACGAGTAATATCCATTTCACCTAAACCGTTATGAATGCGTAGTTATATCCTAATTTCTGCCAAAGATTGTAACTTCCAAAGATTTTCTGGGATAAACTCACTGTCACTTGAATTCTTTGGCTACTTTTGAAGATGACATCCAAGGAACTCTGAATGATTCTCCTTTTTGGAGGAGACTTCATAGGCATTAGCGGTTAGCAGCAGAGGCTGTGCAGATCCTGTCTGGCACCCCTGGGAGATCAGATTAATAGAAATTTCATCACAGAGGTCTTTTCACTCAACATCTTAAGATGATGGTTTTCATGTGACATTTTGTTTTTTAAGTTCCTAACTACCACCTTTAATTCATTTCAGGGCTCAGTTCATTACTTTTAAACTTCAACCTGCAGGTCTGCTTCTCACTATCGCTGCAGATGCAGATGCAAAGCCGCAGGGTGCCAAAGGCCCAAGGCTGCTGGCCATGCTGGACCTGGACAGAGGCCACCATGACGTTCAGCTGTGCGGCTGGCCTTGGAGAGGCAACTGCACTATATTCTTGATGTATAAAATGAATCTTAATTTACTTAACCATTTTATATTGGTAACCATTTAGGGATTTTTCATGTTGGCGGAGGAATAGACACTTAGGGCAGTGGAACAGGATAGAGAGCCGAGAAATAGACCCATGCAAATATGGCCAACTGATTTTTGACAAAGGTGCAAAAGAAATGTAATGGAGGGAGGATAACCTTTTCAACAAATGATATTAGAGCAACTGGACGTTCATAGGCAAAACTATGACTCTCAAACCTTATACAGAAATTCACTCCAAATGGATCATGGACTTAACTGTAAGTGTAAAACTATAACATTCTTTTAAAATAGGAGAAAAATCTTTGGGATCTAGGGCTGGCCAAAAACATGATCCCAAAAAAGGGGGGGAAATGATGTAAAACTTCATCACAATTAAAAACTTTTGCTCTGTGAAAGACCCTGTGAAGAGGATGAGAAGGCAGACTACAAACTGGGAGAAAATATTTGCAAACCACATATCCGGCAAAGGACTAATATCTACAGCATATAAACAGAGAAAATATTTGCAAACCACATATTCGGCAAAGGACTAATCTCTACAGCATATAAACAGCTCTTAAAACTTCAACGGTTAAACACCAAACATCCCGATTAGAAAACAGCAAATGATATGAACAGTCACTTCGGCAAATACAGATGGCAAAAAGCACATTAAAAAATGTTCATCCTCATTAGCCATTAGGAATATGTCATTTAAACACAGTGAAATATTGGAATGGCTAAAGTAAAAAATAGTGGCAATACCAAATGCTGATGAGCATGTGGAGAAATTGGATCACGTATTTCTGGGAATATAAAATAGCACAACTACTCAGGAAAACTGTTGGCAGTTTTTTATAAAACTAAACATGCCACCACCATATGACTCAGCAATTGTACTCTTAGGCATTTATCCCAAAGATGTGAAAACTTATTTTCATACAAAAACCTATACACAGTGTTCATAGTAGCTTTATTTGTAATTGCTAAAACCTGGAAACAACTCAGATGTCCTTTAATGGGTTAAACTGACTTACATTTGTACCATGGAATCTACTTGGCAATAAAAAAGAAGAAATTGTTGATACACACAACAGCTTAGATGAATCTCCAGAAATTAAGCCAGATGAAAAAAGCCAATCCCCAAAGGTTATATACTGTGTGATTCCATTTATATAACATTCTTCAAATGTCAAAGTTATGGAAATGGAGAACAGATTGGTAGTTGCGGGGCAGGGTGTGGTGGTAAAAAGGCATCAGGAAGGATCCTTAGGGCTATGGAAATGTTCTTGACCGTCTCAGTGCCGATATCCTGGATGTGATACAGTATAGCACGATAACTTTGCAACGTGTTATCCTTAGGGGAAACTGGGTGAAAGGTACACAGAATCTCTCTATTATTTTTTACAACCGACTGTGACTCTGTAATGATTTCAAAGTAAAAGCTGGATTATAAAAAGTGGCAAATCACTTGACGTGGCAGTTTCTAATGAAGTTAAAAATAAACCTGTGACCTAGCTTTTATTCCCCTGTAATGAGTGCATTTGGCCACAAAAAGATTTGTATAAGAATGTTCACAGTAGCTTTATTCACGATAGCTGAAATTTGGAAATAACCCAAATATTTATATGCTGGAGAATGGATTAAAAAATTGCAATATATCCATGCAATGGAATACTTCTTAACAGCAACGAAAAAAGGACTACCGATACAACTGTCCCCCCTTATCTATGCCAGATATGTTCTGAGACCGAGTGGATGCCTGAAACTGAGGGTAGTACTGAACCCCGTATGTAGCACATTTTTTCCTATACATACACACTTATGACAAAGTTTATAAATTAGGCAGTGTAAGAGGTTAACAACAATAACTAATAATAAGAATAATTATAACAATATCCTATAATGAAAGTTATGTGAATGTCTCTCTCTGTCTCTCACAAAATACCTTATAGTACTGTACTCACCCTTCCTCTTGTGGCGATGTAAGTGGCACGATGTCTCCGCGATGAGATGACGTGAGGTGAATGATGTAGGTAGGCATTGTGACGTAGCATTAGGCCACTTAAGGGTGACTTGAACACAAGCACTGTGATACCATGACAGTCAATCTTATCCCCAAGATGGCTACTGAGTGACAAAATGGGTGGGCAGCGTATACGGCATGGATATCCTGGATAAAGGGATGATTCATGTCCTGAGCAGGACAGAGTGGGACAGTGCAAGATTTCATTACAATATGCAGAATGACGTGCAATTTAATATTTATTTTTGGAATTTTTTATTTAATATTTTCGGACCGTGGTTGATAGTGGGTAACTGAAACCCCAGAAAGCGAAATCACAGATAGATAAGGGGAGACTACTTACACACGAAATATGGATGAGTCTCACAAACATTATGTTAAGCAGTGGGAATCAGATACAAGAGAAAACATAGTATAGGATTACACATATGAATTTCAACAACTGGCCAACTCATCGATGGCGATAGAAGATAGAATGCTGTTTGCTGGTGAGGGGGGATGGTATCAACTGGAAAGGAGCTTGAGGGAACTTTCTGGAGTGAAGGAAATGCGCTTATATAGGTACATGCCTAGTTAAAAGTTATCGAGCTCTACACTTAAGGTTTATGCATTTACTGTATGTCAATTATAATAAAGTGCTATAAAAAAAATCCCCGTTCATAGGGAAAAAAGGCATATCAACCAATCCCACTGTATAGACTTCATTTGAATCACCCTACACTCAGTGGACACCCAGATGTATAGATAATTTACGTGTGAATTCTTTCTATCAAAATATGCTTACGATGATGTTAGCACATACAGATTGTATGTCCATAAATTGTCCATCCGTTGTAACAAATTGAGGCAGTGGGATTAATTTTTTCCAACCTTCATGTGCTCTCTTGTTTCTCGTAAGGACCTGATACTGTTTTATGAGGATGATCCAGAGCCACTTTTGCCAACGACTCCTCCTGCCATTATCTCGTCAACTACGTGGTTGTCAGAAGGGCAAGCAGACGCTGGTAATCTCCGGGATGCAGGTGAGTTAGTTAAAGAATAGGAAGTTTACTCAGAAACGTGAATAAGAAACAGTAGAGTTTTTTCCTCAGATTTTATTTTGTGAAATATAGTAACAACAGCTTAATAACTGATAATGAAGGACAGGACAGCATGGACAGATTCAACCCACGTGTGATTCTATAACTTTATTTTACCATTTGTTTCCATTTTTTTCCTCGATTTTTCGTTTTTCATTGTTTTGTTTCAAAAACTATTAACTACGAACCTTAAATCTTTTACAAATGGTTTTAAAAAGCATAAAATATTAATCTTAGTTTCTTTCTCATTTGTATTAACTTCTCTTTGATGAAGAGTTTAAATTATGACATTTTTCAAAAGCAAGCATTAGACAAAAAGGCGAAAAAGCAAGATGCATGGTTTTTCGCAAATTGGTTAATCACCTCTTAAATAATTAACATTAGAGAAAGGAAGTATAAAATTTTACAAAACTGGCCTCCAATAAATTATACTATCAAATTCCATCTGGGCTCCGCCGTTACTCAGAGTCTGATTGATTCACTATTGAGCCACTCCATCCTGTCTCTATTATCCATGAACTCTCAATTTTCAGTACATTCCCCTCTTGATTTTCTGAAAAAATAGGACGAAAGATCTTCTGCCAAGATGGGAATGAAACTTCCTCGTTAGCATCTTCATCCTCTCATATATCTTTGCTTTTATACTCATCCAACCGTCCTTCCCCTTATCACAGCGGTGGCTCCTCGTGGTCTGAGTTTCATCCTCTCCCTCATCTTTAGACCGTGCACCTCCATTTTCCCCTTATATAGATCTCCACTATCCAAAATATAAAAACGGTAGCTTTTTAGTATAGATTTATTTGACAGGTTTCTGTTTATATAGTTCTCTTACAAAACTAGTTGTGAGAATGATGAGGATGTTTTAATAGACACAAAAACGAGAAGTTACGGGTTACGGTGGTATTTGTAATACAAGGATGGCATTATTCACACGGATAATTAGTTATAAGTGGTTATGATTTTTTAGACACCTTGCTTTGTATTCTTAGAATACACTTTACATAAACTGTTTCGGATCCAAAAGCTTGAAAGAAGAACAGTAAGGAACCGTTTTTTGTCTTCTACTATCCCCATACGTTTCCCCCTCCCCAACATTTTTAATAGACTTTATTATTTTTTTAGAGCAGTTTTAGGTTCACAGTAAAATTGCGTGGAGGGTACTGAGACTTCCCCATCTACCTGCTGTCCCCACTACTGACATGCCCCACCGGAGTGGGACATCCACGCAGTCAGTGAACCTACACTAACTGCATTATTATCCAAAGTCCGTGGTGTACATGAGGGTTCACTCTAATGTTGTACATTCTGTGGGTTTTGACAAATGTGTAATGACACGTATCCACCATTATGGTATCATACAGAGAAGTGTCACTGCCCTACAAATCCACTGGGCTCTGCCTATTCATTTGTCCTTCCCCTCTAATCCCTGGCAATCGCTAATGTTTCAACTGTCTCTACACTCTTATCTTTTGTAGAAAGTCATATAGTTGGCATCATTCAGTATGTGGCCTTTTCAGACTGGCTTCACTTAGCGACATGCATTAAGGTTCCTCCATGTCTTCTCATGGCTTGAGAGCGCATTTCTTTTGAGTGCCGAATAGGATATCCCAGGGTAGTTATCCATCCTCCTACCGAAGGACATGCTTGCTAGTTGTGTCCAAGTTCGAGCAATTATAAATAAAGCTGCTGTAAATATCCACGTGCAGGTTTTTGTGTGGACATCAGGTTCTCCCTGCCAACATTTTAATACAAGTGCAGCTGAGTGTAGACGAGCATCAGTGACAACCCTCAAGATGAAAAAGCCACAAAACATGTCACGTGAGGGATGAATCCGCCATTTCACTCATCATAATTGGAGGAGCTTTTCCTATTTTTAAGTCTGTCTTTTCTCCAGTCTTTCCTTTACACTGATCTCAGCAAGGTATTGCTGAAATGCAGAACTTAGCCTTTTGCTTCCCAGCTTAAAAACGTTCAACAGTTCTCCACTGCCAATAGGATATCTAATTTTTTTTTTTTACTGTCATATAAAACTTTTCAGAGTCTGGTCCCAGTCAGTCGTCTTGGCCTCATCACCCAGCACGGCCAATATTCGCAGTGTTTTGTGACATCCTCTTACTTGTGTAGTTTCTCCTCCTTAGTACGTTCCACTTACTTTGTTCCACATACTTTGGCTGTGTAACACATTGCTCTAAAACCTTGTGGTGCAAGGTAACCATTTATTTTGCTGGTGGATTCTCTGGATCAAGAATTAGGACAGTGCACATTGAGGATGACTTTTCTCTGCTTCATGACGTACGTTTGGGCCTCAGCCTGAGAACACAAAGGCTGAAGACAGGAATCATCTGAAGGCTCATTCACTCGTGGATCTGCTAGTTGGTGCTCTCTGTCGGCCGGGGGCCTCAGTTTCTCTCCACATGGGCCTCTTCACGTGTCTCTCCATGTGGGCTAGTTTGGGCTTCCTCACAGCAACACCACGTGGTAGCCAGGTCCCAAGGGTGAGCATCCTGTGAAAGAAAGGACAAGACAGAAGAATAATCTGGAAAGTCATGCTGCGATACTTCCTCTCCAAGAGGAAGTTCATCAAGACAATTACAAAGTCTGCTCAAGTTCAAGGGGAGAGGATGTAGACTCCCACCTCTCCATGGACAAGTGTCAATGTCATATTGAAAGAAAAACATATGGGATGGGAAGTGTGTTAGTACGGTCATCTTTGGAAAATACAGTCTGCCACCGTCCGCCACCAAATTATGGATGCTTAACGACACCCTATTCAAACAAGGCCCAGCTCAGCTGTCGCTGCTGCTATGAAATCTTTCTATACACTAATTTCTCCTGTTACTGAGTTCCCCAAAGGACTTTACCGATACCCCTAGTATAGAATTTATAATTTTGTATCGTAGTTATAAATTGTATTTATTTTTAAATCATATTAATAAGTGAATATGATCTTGTTTTTAAAAATTCAAACAATATAGAGTTAAAATCCCGTTGACTGTTTCTTACCCCGACACAGTCCCCGCCCCTGAGTTAAATGTTATTATTAGTTAGTTACTCTTAGACCTTTGCGCATTTACATATGCACATGTATCTTTAGAAGTATGTACAATTGACTTTATTTTGTTTTAGAACACTGTTCTATATTTTTCTGAAACTTTTTTTTAAACAATATCACTTGGCAATCCTTCAGTGTATGTCAGTATTTAGAGATTTACCACATATTTTTTTAACTCTTGCATTGCCTGTTTATTTCCCTGCTGATAGACATTTTGGTGTGTTACGTTTTTCACTGTTACCAATAATGCTTGAGTGAATAGCTTTATGCACATATGCGTTTCTTTAGGGTAGATTCTTAGAACTAGAATCCCTGGGTCGTAATGTATGCCCATTTTCATTTTAATTAATAGTGCTAAATATCCCCTTGGAATTTCAATAGAAGTTTACACTGATTTGCGTAGTATGAATACGAGTCACACACACACCCTCACCAGCACTTGATATTGTTCAAGCCTTATATTTTTATCACTTGGATTAAGGTTTCATTGCACGGTAGGTATAATTTGCATATTTCTGTGTTAATTGGGTTTTTCTATTTCCTTTTCTGTGGATTGCTTACTTATATCATTCACCGATCTTACTTTTGGGTTGTGTGTTGTTCACTTAAATTGATTTTGTAGCATTTTTGCTTATGTGTTACTAATGCTTTCTGTTATTTATGTTGCAAATATCATCTTCCAGTCTGTGAATTGTCTTTAAACTTTCTTTACAGAAGTTTTTTTTGTTTGTTTTTCTGGTGTCTTTATAGTTTTGTGTTTTATATAGTCATATTTATTCCTCCTTTTCTTCTGAGCTTTTGTTTTTCTGTTTTTAAGAAGGCTTTCCCTATACCAAGTTCATAGTACATATTCACCCATATTTTATTATAATCGTTTTAGTTCTCTTTCTGCATTTAAAGTATTTGTGAGTGGTTTTAGATAGGTCAGCGGGCATCTGATTATCTCAACAACATTTATTGATCACTTCATATTTCTCTTTTATTTTGAAATGACTCTTTAACCTGTACTAAATAGTATCTGTTTAACAACTCTATTCTGTTCTAACGATCCATTTTCCTATTTTCTGTCTACTTTTTTTTTTGTAACTATTATAATAATGTGCCAGAGTATGAATGTGTCCTGTTTTATTAACCAATATTATGTTAATGGTCACTTCAGTTGTTTCCATATTTTTACTGTCACAGATAATGATAAAATGATATCTTTCTCCTCTCTCACATAAAGTAGGCTTTTTATTTATGTGTTTCCACAATTTGAAGCAGATTCTAAAATACGTTACTCTGAATTTCTGTTGGTAAATTCTATCCAGCTCACTAACTTATCCTGTCAACAGATGGTTCTAATTTCCATGTTATAATTTTGGCAACTTCAGCCCAAGGCAAAAATAAAGTAGGGAAGTCATCCTAGTACAGCATCCTCAGATCTCCTTCTCCTCCTGCCTCTTCCCTCCTCAGGCACAGTGATCTGCTGTTTGCGATCCGGCCTGGGGCGTGTGGGAGCACTCACACCCTCACCAGCCCTTGGTCTTTGCTCCACTGATCCCATCCCGCCCCCTCTCTGAGTGACCACTGTCTCAAATTCTGTGCTCATCATTTCTTGCATTTCTTTGTAGTTGTACTACATACGTCAACATCTTGAACAATATCTTACTTAGTTTTACAGGCTTTTAAGCTTTATCTAAATGGAGTCATTTGGTATTTATTTTTCTGTGACTTCTTATCCCTCAATAGTATGTTCTTAAGATTCATCTATGAGTGTATATGGTTGTCATTCGTTTTCACCGCTGTATAGTATGTCATTGTGTACATATATTAGAACGAATTTATTTATTCCACTCTAGAACACTATCATCAGTACTGTGTGTAAAGTTTTTTGTATTGCAAACAGTGC